AACCAAGACCGGGAATGCCAACAGAACTCCGCAGTGAGGGCAATGTTCTGTGGGCGTGCTGTCCAACATGGCTGCCACTCGTCACCTGTGCGATGTGGCTACTGCGGCTGAAGAACTGAGGTTTTAATTTCACTTAATTTTAGTTAATTTAAATGGATATAACCACACGTGGCTTGTAGCTCTATACCGGATAGGACCTGGCACCTTCCAGGCCTAGACCTCACTTGGCTGCAGGTCTGGAAAGAGGCAAAGAGGTTCTGACCTGCTTGGAATCCCCTCTGGAGTGGACGAAGGTGGACAAGACCTTGCCTCCTGCTCAGAGCAGGCCCTGGAGGCCTCGGGCCTCAGCTGCTGCAGTCACACTCACCCCCCTTCTGCGACTCGATCTCCTTCTTGGCCTGCTCCAAGATGCTCTTGATGGCGTCATCCGAGCCGGTCTCTGGTGTGCGAATTCTCGGGGTGATACTGCCTGGGGGAGGAAAGGAGGCATCTGCTGTGGGGACCTGCATGTTGGGGGTCAGTCCCTGGAGCTGGGCAGGGTGACAGCCTGGTGCCCTCCTCTGAGGGCCAGACCATATGTGTGGCAGGACCACCACTTTGCTAGTCTGTGTGACAAACTGTGGACCTACAAGTGATTCTAGCTTGAAATAATAATAACAACAAAACCCACTGACGGCAGCCACCATCAATGCTAACAGTTCTCAAGAACTTACTACATGCTTTATGCTCATTTAACCCCCGTCATGAGGCTGACAGATGGGGAAACTGAGGCACAGAGCAGCTGAAGTGGATTGCCTGAGGTCACTCAGTAGATGAATGGCAGAGCTGGACACAAACAAAAGGTGTTTGTGAGGTCAAAACTTGGGCCCTTCACATGGATTACCCTAAAAACTGAGTCCAGCAAGGTTGGCAGTCACCCAGGCTGTCGTACAGATGGGTAAACTGAGGCTTGGAGGTGCTCAGCGGGTATCTGCCAAGGCAGCCCCTGGGGCCCAGACTTTTCCCACCATTATCAGCCTGAACGGCATCACAGCGGCCAGAGGGGGAAACTGAGGCACAGAAAGGCAGAGTCACTTGCCCCGAGTCACACGGCTGTGAGGTGGCAGACCCAAGGCTCTGAACCCCGACCTGTGCTCTCAGACCCCAGCCAGCCCCATGCCCTGGGCTGGGTCGTGGAGACCAGGTGTGAGCCTGTGCGCCGCAGATGGGCCCTCGGCCGGCACATACCTCGCTGCCGCACCTGGATGGTCCTCAGAGCCAGCACGTTCTGCTCGTCCGACAGGAACTGCTTCATCTTGATGAAGGGCTCCTTGCCCTTCACCGTGAGCTTGCGCCAGGGCTTGGGCCGGGCCAGGATCTCGCTGACCGAACCCTGGGACAGGCCCAACACGTAGTGGCCAAACACCCGCTGCCCGATGTTGTGTTTGAGCAGCTGCTCCTTCACCTGGAATGCGATCTCTGCCGTGTCCAGCTGCTCCTCCTCTGCCCCGGCCCCCGCTGTGGCCACTCCGCCGCCACTGCCCTCCGCTGGCTCAGGGCCCCCGGGCGGCTCAGGGCCAGGGGCTGGGGTGGCAGGGGCCGTGGGCGGCTTGGTGCCATAGAAGGCTGGGGGGAACACCAGCAGGCCTCCCGCCTCCCCCTTGAAGGCGGCCGGGGGCATCATGTGCTTGGACAGCAGCGTGTCCCCTGTCAGTCTCTCCCCTAAAGCCAGGCTGGGGAAGGGGGACAGTGAGAAAGTCTGAGGGCCATCAGGGCCGAGGCCAGGGCCCAGCAAGGGCTGCCCTGGGCTGGGGGACAGGGGGTCTTCAGGCCCTGGTGGCGGTGGGAGCTGTGGAGGGGATGGGTAGGACTGCTCCGTGCCCAGAGAATCCTTGATGGCAACATCCTCTGAAGGGTCTTCCTCTAGAACACCAAGGCAGACAGACAGAGGAAGAGAGGAAAGACAGACAGAAAGACAGAGAGGTGGATAGTGATGGGGAGAGACAGAGACAGAGACAGGGAGAGAAATCACAGAGAGACACAGAGATAGGAAAACAGAAATAACATGGGAGAGACAGAGACAGGCAGAGGCAGAGAGACAGAGACAGACAGAGACAGTGAAAGACAGAAAGCAACAGAAGGACAAAGAGACAGAAAGAGGGAGACAGAGAAACACATACAAAGAGACAGAAATTTGGAGGGAGAGGAAGGGGGCACAGGGCAGGAGGGAGTGGGGACAAGTGCTATAGGCGTCCGGCGGCGCGAGGCGCCAACACTGGCTGTTTCTGCCACACACACTCCCTGCCCCCTTCTCTGATCCCCATCCTTCAAGGCCCGGGCCAAATGCTAGTTCTGGGGAGCCCCCCTCCCACCATCAAGCACATCAACTGAGCACTCGTTATGGGCCCAACACCTTGCCCTGGGAGGATTAACCCCCATCCCAGAGCAGGACAGCCCACTTCCTGGGTGCTCGCCCTGCACCCCTTGTCTATGCGTTTGTATTTCCCATGCTGCTAACTTACTCCACCCGCACAGGGCCCATTACTGCCCCCATCTCACAGATGAGGAAATGGAGGCAGCACACAGAAAGTGTCGGCTGGGGCCACATGGCTGAAAGGTCATGAAGCCACTGTGTGAGGAGAAGGGGCGATGTGGGGGCAGTCATGTCTGTAGGCCGTGCCCAGGGGTCTGCTGTAGGGGGTGCGGTGTGAACGCCCTCCTTGTCCCATGACTTCTTCTACTGCTCTCGAAGGAGCAAGCCCTTCGGGGGACCTCAGGAGGGCCTGAGTGAGCTGTGTGTCCCTGAGTGTGGCCGTGGATGTGGGTGGCACCCTGTGGGACAGCTGCCTGCTGGCTTAGCTGTGGATGGCACCCAGCTCAGCCCCTGGCACCCAGGAGGCGCTCAATCAACATGCCCGCCTTTTATCCATCATCCTCCGGCCCATGTGGAAGGCAGTGGTCTGAGGGCATGGAGGAGGCCAGAGACCCACGGGCAGCTCCCACCCCAGCCCCTCAGTCCCAAGAGCACCCCTCCTCCCCTACCAGGGCTGGCCAAAAGACCAGGCTTTTCTAGAAGGAATTTCTGCGCAGGGAAGAATGCCTCCTTTGCCATGAGCAGGGAGTCTTCAGGCTTTGCCATGCCCTGAGGAGACAAGAAGCAGGGCTGAGAGGGCATGGCTGGTACAAGGCTCTCAGGGGCAGCCTGCCCTGTGGGGAAAGTGGTGGGGACACTCACCTGGGGGAGGCTGCAGGTGTTGGAGGCCAGCTTCATGGCTTTGAGGATGCTGCCAGAGAAAGTGGAGAGAGTGTGAGGCCAGCCAGTTCCCCAGGCTGGGAGAGAGGCACTACTACCTGCTATCTTCCCTGATTGACAGCAAGCACCCCAGCCCCCGGGACCCCATGTAACACGGGACTCAATGGACAACAGGCCTTAAATAGTGGGCTTGTTAACTGGTCTGCTGTCACCTGGAGGAGTGTGGCTTGAGCTCATCTGATTAAGGCATCATCCCCCTGCCCAGTTACAGCACCAGCAAGGCTATGTTTTCCCACAGGCAGCTCTTGATGACAAAGGTCCGGGCATGACACTCAAGGTGCCAGTGGAGAGTTGACAAGGGTAACACAAAGCGGGGTCTGGTGGGAAGGAGGAAGATGGTGAACTTTGCCGAGGGCCCTTTGCTATCTTCCCAGGCAGCCCCCAGTCAGGCAAGAGGGCTTGGCGGGGGGTCTATGGAGCCCCGCCCCACACAGTACCTCAGCTCTGTTTTAATTTCTTCATAGTCAGACTGTGCCTGGAGCTTCTCTTCCAGCTTCTAGAAGAACAAAGATGGTGAGGCTGGTTCACGTCCTTCTGCCTGGGGACTCCCCGCCCATCTCCCATCTGCCCACCTCCTCCCCAAGACCTACTTCGATGGCCACCTACTTCGATGGCCTCCGACTTGGCCATGAGCTGCCGCTCCAGGTCTGCAATCTGGTTGGCGGAGGTCTCCTCCAGCTCCTGCAGAGAGTTCTGGAGGTGCCGCACATCCTTCAGCAGCCGCAGGATCTCCCGATCCTTGGAGGCCAGGGCAGCCTCAAGCCGAGGGCCCGAGCACAGAGCGAAGTTCACCTTATCCTGGGCACAAACAGGGGCTTGGAGGGGTCGGGAGGTGTGGGGCAGGGGGCTGCAGGGCTGCTGTGCTCCCTGGGGTGACTCAGCCCCTCTTACAGGCCTGCGGCTTTCCCCTTACCACTTCTGAGCCTTTGCTCAGGCTGTTCCCACCTGCCTGGATGTCTTTCCCTCGCTTCTTGAGAAGAAATGAGGGAGAAGGAGTGGTCAGAGAAAGTACTTTGGAGGAAGGTATGTCTAAACTGTGATGAAGTTCAAGAACAAGTTAGTGATTTGGAAAGTTGCTTGGCAGCCTCTGCTAAAGGTGAAAATTCGGTGCCCTAAGTCCTGGTGGAATATATGCAGGAGAAATGTGGGCACTTGTGCACCAAGACACAGGATGTGAACGTTCACAGCAGCCCTCTCTGTAATAGCTCCAAACCTGAAACCCCCCAGATGCCTACCCACCAGAAAGTGGACAGATTGTGGAATACTCACGCAACAGAATACTAGACAGCAACAAAAACGAATAATCTACATTTACTTGCAACACAGTATGATGACTCTGCCAGATATATCATAGAGCCAAAGAAGCCAGACACCAAAGTGTACGCGTGATTCTATTAAGATCAGATATCAAAACAGGCAAAACCCATCTGTGCTGTTAGAAGTCAGGGGGAGTAGCACCTGGATGGGGTCATGAGGGAGGCTTCCGGGTGCTAGAATGTTTTATTGTTTTTTAAAAAATATTTATTTATTTATTCATTCATCCATTTATTTATGGCTGCGTTGGGTCTTCATTGCTGCACACGGGCTTTCTGTAGTTGCGGTGAGCAGGGGCTACTCTTTGTTGCGGTGCGCGGGCTTCTCATTGTGGTGGCTTCTCTTGTGGAGCACAGGCTCTAGGTGCACGGGCTTCAGTAGCTGTGGCACATGGGCTCAGTAGTTGTGGCTCAAGGGCTCTAGAGCGCAGGCTCAGTAGTTGTGGTGCACGGGCTTAGTTGCTCTGCGGCATGTGGGATCTTCCTGGACCTGGGCTTGAACCCGTGTTCCCTGCATTGGCAGGCGGATTCTTAACCACTGTGCCACCAGGAAAGTCCCTAGAATGTTTTATTGTTGATCTGGATGCTGGTTATGGGCTGTGTTCACTTTGAAAAATTCCAAATGTTGTACACTTATGATATGCATGTTTTTCCTTGTGGATGTTATACTTCAATAACACATTTATTAAAAAGGAACAAAAAGAGCCCGCATGCCGCCAGCTACAGAGCCCAAGCGCTCTGGAGCCCACGTGCCACAGCTAGAGAGAACGAAGAGCCCGCACACCGCAACAAAAGATCACACGTGCCGCAACTAAGACCTGACACAGCCAAAACCAAAATAAATAAATATTAAAAAAAAAAAAAAGAAAAAAAGGAACCAAAAAGAACCAGTCAGTTGGGTGAGGAAGTGGTAGTTATAGGATGTTTCTGGCTGAGAGAACAGCAAAGGTTTGGGTTTCTAAATCGGGCCCAGGTCCCACTCCCAGCAGCAACAGACCCACAGGATTAGACCTGAGACCTTGCAGCCATGAGACACGTTAGGGTGATTCCTTCCTCATCCTAATTTGCCACCAGCCCCAAGCCCCACAGCTTCTCCAGGTTTTAGGAAATGGCCCCTTTGTCCTGGCTGAAGATAAAGAGGTTTCTCTTTGAGGGGACCGGAAGTCAGGCTGCCCTTGAGCTCAGTTACAAATGAATCTAAGCAGCATTAGGAAGAAAAACAAAAAACAAAAAACAACTGACCACTACCAACCCCAGCTATTCTTCTATGGAGGTAAATGCCAATTAAAACAGGAAGCGGATGCCATTAACACATTAAATTAATTAGCATCGAGCGCCACTGTTGTGCTCAGAAAAGCTCACCCCTCCCCCAACCCAGCAAAGTTCCTCATGGCTGATTAGCACAGGCATTTGCTGGCTTCCATGGGGGTTAATTAAGAACCATTGGCAAATTCTCTCTGAGGCATCCTCATGAGCGCTCTCGCTCTCAGTCTTTCTTGTGTTCATTCTCTATGTCGTGCAGACATCAGGCACGTTGATACATACACACTGCCTCCTGGGACACGGGCACAGGTGCACACACCTACGGACACAGCACACACTGACACATGTACCTGTGGGGATACTCATGCTGAGAAGCACACGCATGGAAATGCATAGGCACCAAGGAGATGTGTCACCATCACACACACAGACGTGTATGTGCTCAGAGGCCACATGCTCACGTGGGCAAAAACACCCTGGACATACCCCAAACACACTAGTAATAGTAACACTGCATTAAATATTTACTGAGCAAAGACTATAAACCAAGCACCATGTAATCCTCTCAATAACCCTATAAGGCAGGTCCTATTTATACAGATGAGGAAACTGAGGCACAGTTAGGTTAAGGATACAGTTATTTGCCCAAAGGTCACAAACAGACACACATACACAGTAACACACGTTCAGAGAGACTCATTCCAATATTTAAATAGAAAGACAGATACAGACACACAGGTCAGGTGAAATGAAAATTATGCCGGCCACTTCAGGTTCATGAATGGAGACTGCAAATCACCCTGCAGCAGACCTGTTATTATGTAAGCAATCATGAATTTCATTCCTTGATATCTGGAAAGAAATCTGGAAAGAAGGTGGACCAATTTACATAAGAAAGCCAGGCTTTCTGGGAGAGGAACAATAAAGACTCTTATTACATGACAGAAGGGTAGGTTGGGGTGGGCCTGATTAAAATCCCTTGGCAGGGGCTTCCCTGGTGGCGCAGTGGTTGAGAGTCCGCCTGCTGATGCAGGGGACACGGGTTCATGCCCCAGTCCGGGAGGATCCCACATGCCGCGGAGCGTTTGGGCCCGTGAGCCATGACCCTGCCTGCGCGTCCAGAGCCTGTGCTCCGCAATGGGAGAGGCAACAACAGTGAGAGGCCTGCGTACCGCAAAAAAAAAAAAAAAAAAAAAAAAAAAAAAAACCCCTTGGCAGGAAATGTCCCCAGGACCCAAAGGGGCACCAACCTGGAGGAATGAGAAAGATGTACTGACTAACTGGCTTAACACAGGAACCTCAGGGTTGATGACTAAAGATTGGTTCTTTTTAACATGTGGCTGGTTGGGAAACCTCATTAGAATCACCCTGATACATTTTAGGAACACTTGGCTGATATGAGTGTCAACCTCAGCTCTTGGTAAGCAGCCCCGCTGCTGTCTGGGAGGGACTGAGAACCAGTGGGGCATCCCTGTAGCAGTCCCGCACATCTTCCAAGCAGTGTGAGACGAGTGGTCAACAGCAACACCTGGTGGCAGCCACCAAAACTGCACGGCTGCTCTATTGATCAAACTCACCCTCCTACCCACTCTTGCTGGGCATCTGGCAACTAAAATGATCCTCTTTGGCCCGACTAAATTCCAAAGTATATGCAATCAAGGTATGTGGAAGCTTGAGCTTGAACAGTTAAAAGAGCTGCAGCTGTTTTTGACCCTCAGCTAGTGAAGCAAGTCACAGTGATTATGTTTAACTACACACTGACCTTGGCAATTAAAATGCTATGCCCACAGTATGCACACAGAGACCCACACCCATTCATGTGCACAATTTCACACCAATGCGCATGGCCCACCCACATATTCAAACCCACAAACCTGGTCTTTCCCAACCTTTCCCCGTGGCTCCTCCACCATCCTTACCCCACTGGGTCCCTGAGGAGAGCAGCAGGCCAGGCGGATGGAACTGTTGACGGAGGCAAGTTGTTCCCGAAGACTTTCCACCTCCCGCTGGGCAGCCTCGGCTCGCTGGGAAGGAAAATGGGGCAAGTGTGGTTAAGAGGTGAGCGGGGCCACACTGGATCCCCCCCACCCCGGCCCTCCACTGCTTCCCTGCACCGTCTCAGGCAAGCAGCTGGGAAGGCAGGTCTGAGGGCCTGGGGTCCTCCTTTCTGGGTCCTGGACCCTTGAGTTGGCTCTTGGTTTCCCTGGTGTGTATCCAAGAGGAGCTAGAACATTCCCTCTTCAGTAGGGCAGGAAGGAAGATGCTGTCTTGATGGAACTGGCAATTTTCCACACGTTCCCAGGCCACTTCTGTCTGCCAAGTAAACTTCAGGCCTGGCTAGTCAAAAGGCCAGAGTTTGTCCCCAGCTCCTGTGCCATATGGTGTCTGCAGAGGTGGCTCACAAGCTGTTGCAGGCCCCTGGGCAAGTTACTTCCCCTCTCTGAGTCTTAGTTTTCCTTTTGTGAAATGGGAGCAATGAAACTGTAGAGGAGTGTTGAAATACATCTAAAATCAGAATGCCACAGTTTACTAAACTGAATCTTAACTCTTCAAAAATTCCTAAGAAAAAGCTTGGAAGGAAGCATACAAATGTTAACAATGTAGACTTGTGGCCTGGAGAGAAATCTGTACTTTGTCTCTCTTTCTGGTTGTATGACCTTGGGCAAGAAACTTCATATCCTTGGCCTCAGTTTCCCTGTCTGTAAAATGGGCATAATAAGAGCAACTATCTCATAGGGTTGTTCTGCAAGTAAGTGATTTGGTAAAATACAGCTCATTAGGTATCTCATCTTGATGCCTGACACATACAAATGTGTCAGTAATTGGTTTACTTTATTAACATCAACAGGGTGTATGGGATCTTGAACTATGGAAAATTAAAAGAGTTGCAGTTGTATCCTGACCTCCAGCTGGTGATGCAGGTCATAGCAATTAAGTTTAACTTACACACTGACCTTAGCAATCAGGATGCTGTGCCCACTATATGCGCACAGAGATCCACACACATCCACGCGCACATTTCATTGATTTATGTTTTAACTGATTTGTTTGTTTATTAGTATTCTACCTTGTTCCAGGAATGGTTTGAGTTAGGAGTCAGTTTTGTTTTGGGAAAGGTTTCGGGCGTGTGGGGCTGTAGAGAAAACATTTTTATGTTTCCACAAAGGGCATACTGAGCAAATGTGACTGAAACTTGGGATCTGGGCTAAAAGACAAGCCTTGGAGTTAATACATGACTGATTAGCTAGTGAGAACTCCAGAAAGATTCACCTCCTGGGAGATGTCTGTTGACATTTAAAGGGGGGATGAGACCTAGACCGTGGAGACACCCCCTGGGTTGTAAAGCTGAGTTTAAAGCTACTAGTCTTATCCTCCCCTGGAGAGAAGTATTTATATTCCAAATGCTAGAAACCCAGGATCCTTGCCCTTCTGTTCATCAGGATACTTGGGAGTAGGTTTCTCTCCCTTTCTCAGAACGTCCCTCTACTATACTATACAACCACCCAGATTCATATTTGGGTGGTTCCTTGCCTACAGCACAAACTCTGGTGCATGTAGGAGGATATCTGGTTCTCGTCTTGTCACCCCAGGGGAAGAACTGGGGCGAACTGGCATGGTTTTTACTATACGAGTAATAATGATCTGCTCTGCTCCAGAATCCTCTTGTTCACATTTAGGATAGTATTAATAAATACAGATATTAAAGACTAATATGATGACATTTACTTTTTTCTCAATACTCTACAATGAGCAGGTTTTAGTTTTATACTCAGGAAAAAATAAACATTATTAAAAATGCTCCCTATTCAAACTACTCTAAGATGGCTCTTCTTAAGCCCACTTGATTGGCGGAGATCCAAAAGTTTGACGACACACAGTGCTTGGTGAGGCTATTGGGAAACGGGCCCTCTGAGACCTTGCTGGAGGGAGTGTGTACTGGCACAACCCCATGGAAAGCAGTTTGATCACATCTGCCAAATTATAAACGCACAGCTCTTTCACCCAATGGTTCCACTTCTAGGAATTTGCCCTATACAGTGGTTTGGGTATGTATGAAATGATATCTGTACAAGGTTATTCACTGCAGTATGGAGGATGATGGTAAAATACTGGAAATACCATAAACGTTCATCAATAGGGTATGAGTTAGACCAGAGGTGGGCAAACTGCAACCTGTTGCCTGTTTATGTAAATAAAGTTTTACTGGAACACAGCCATGCCCATTCGTTTCCATATCGTCTATGCTTCACTCTACCACTGCAAAGTTGAATAGTTGTGACAGTGACTTGCAAGGCCGAAAATATTTACTCTCTGGTCCTTTATAGAAAGTTTGCCTTCCCCTGGGTTAGATGATGGTGCGTCCATGTAGTGCAACACGACGCAGCTGTGAAACAGAAGGAGCTGCTTTATATACAGATACGGAACAAGCTCTAAGACACATACATGGAAAAAGTAAGGTTCAGGAGAGTGCACATAGTATTAATAATTATTATTATTTTTTAAGTTGCTAATTATTCTCTTAAGGATATGCATACCAAGGTTGTGATGATTCCTTTCTTTTATTTATTTATTTTTGGTCACACGGCATGTGGGATCTTAGCTCCCCAACCAGGGATTGAACCTGGGCCCTCTGCATTGGAAGCGTGGAGTCTTAACCACTGGACTGCCAGGGAAGTCCCTCATTTTTGTTTTAGAAAGGGGTAAAAGTAGATATTCATGGGCTTGTGAAGGGATCCCTGGGAGGAGACCCCAGACATTGTAACAGAGGTTGCTAGGGAGAGGGGAACTGGGGGCAAGTTCAGGGAGGGGAGATGGAGTTTCCCGGCTATGCCCTAATGTACCTTTTTCAGTTTTGAACTAAGTAAATGGATTACCTATTCAAAAAATTAACCTAAAACACGTTATTTTTTCCAACCTTCCTCTGCAGGAGGGAGCACCCTGTCCTTAGGTTGGCACAGCCAGGCATCCGGGCCTTTGTCTCTGCTGTGCCCTCTGCCTGGAATGCCATTCCTCAAGAGAACAGCGCCTGGGCTTTAGAACCCAGCTGCAAAGTGTCCTCCTAGGAGGCCTCCCTCAACCACCCCCAGGGAAATGACCACTTGCCCTGTCACACTGCTGACCCCTCCTGGCCATGCCCCTGGCTGCTGGTGTTGCAGGGGACCGGGGAGAGATACAGTAGGCCCGCAGGACTCCAGACCAGACCCTTATGGCCACATCTTACCTCTCAAAGTCCTGCCCAACTTTGTCCTGCAGATGGCAAAACATCTGAAGTCAGAGGAAGGCAGGACGCGGGAACCCCATTTATAAATGTGAAAACTGAGACTCGGAGCGGCTGAAGGACTTACAAGGACCCGGGCTGGGACTAGGATATGGGGCCCCCAGGGAAGGTTAGGGTCCACACAGTGCCTGCCTGGTGATCGACTGAGGAGGTTGGTGGAGACCCCAGGTGGGGATGGAAGGAGAGAAGCAGCCCCGGGCTTGTCCCTCGTCACCGCCCTCGGCTCTATGGAACATAGCTCCTCACTCAGTCTGGTTGACAGAGACCCATGTCCCAGCTTAGCCTAGGGATGGGCCTGGGATCTCTGGTCACTGCTCTGCCTTCCTCCCACAGGGAAGGGCACTCGTCATGCTCTGCAGGCTGCTTCCTGGCCTTTACCAGGGCCGTCCCGTGCCTGGAATCCATCCCTCTACAGTCTCAAGTTACTTGTCAGGTCTCAGCTCCACGACCCTTCCTGTGGGATGTCTTCCCTGACCCCTGAGTCTGGGTCTGGTGCCCCTTCCCCAGCCGTTGCTGCCTGCATCACCCTATTTCTGAGTGTTCTGTCTGTACCCCACCCTCCTTCCTCTGGGAACTCAGGGGCTGGGTCCCAGACAGCTCCCAGCCCCAGCACTCAGCATGGAATGTAGTTCAATTAATACTGATTGAGCTCAGCTCCCTCCTCTCCGCCTGGCCCGAGACCCCCGCCCCGGGGAGAATGAGCCCCCAGCACACGTCTCCTCACCTGATTAGCTTTCTCCAGGTTGGTCATGATCAGGCCGACTTCATCTGCCCTGAGACAGAAAGACGAGGCCCTGAGGAAGGGATTGTGGCAGCCACCAGGGCCCCCGCCATTCCTGAAACCCCCCAGCCCCTGCCAACCCAAGGGTCTCGCAATGGAGGCCTCGAGAAGGCTGCCTTCCATCCTTCCTACTGGAGAGAAACCAAGCTGGGGGGGCGGGGAAAGAATCCAGGCTGGGGGGAAATGAAAACGGGGCCTTAGCACTGGACCCCTTCCAGGCAGCCTGGCCTCCCATCTCCCCCAGGGGTCCACTCTCTGAAGGTGCCACAGAGCTACACCTCCCAGCCTTTGCCTCTGCTATGCCTTCCACCTGGACGCCTTCCTCAAGAGAACGGAGCCTGAGCTTTAAACCTAGCTGCAGAGTGTTCTCCTAGGAGGCCTCCCTCAACTACCCTCATTTATTTTGCTGCCTCACCACCCCGCTGGGTTGACAGCGCCTAAAGGATCGGGACAGGCCTCATCCACCTTGGCTGCCCCTCTGCCTAGCAAGGGGTGGGGCCATAAGGGGCCTGCAGGGAGCATTTGGTGACTGAACGCCACACATGTGCTACACGCATGTTCCAGTTCAAGGCCTTCTTTGCATAAGCTGTTCCCACTTCCCAGAGCACCTTTCCAAGCATTCTTCATGTGGCCATCTCCTTCCCATCTTTGAGATCTCATTCTGAAGGTCGTCTCCTCAGGGAAGTCCTCCCTGACTACCCTGGATAATAGGAGCCACCCCTCCATGTTATTCTCTCTTGCTGCTCCTGTTTTTTTCCCTTCATAGCATTTACCATGTGGCCACAACAGTGTCAGGCATACAGTAAGTGCTGAACAGTGTCTATGAATGAAAGACTTTATTCCTGTACATCAGCTAGTGTCTGTCTCCTCTCCTTGACTGAGGACAGGCCCATGTTCTGGTGTTTCCTCCAGGGACCCAGCATAGCACTGGGTAAACAGTAGGTGCTAAATAAGTGTTTGTGGATTAAGTTATATCTTAAAGCCTGAAGAAATGTTGAGTCCAGAGTAATTTAAGTTAATGACACTTGGCCCTGTGAAGCTGGGGAGTGGGGACAGCCCCTGGAGGCTGGGGCAAGGCAGAGGCCCATTACCAGCAGAGTCCGCTTAGCTGGAAACCCAGAATGTCCTTTATAGCTTGTGCTACATGGATGGCACCACAAATAAATGCTGAACAGCTGTGAGCCTATGCGGGTGTGGAGCAGAGAGTACTTAATTAAATGGGTGTCTCAGGTAGAATCCGATGGAGAATATCAGAAAGAGGAGGCATGTCTAGAGAGTGAGAGGCAGGAGGCATGCCTGGGAGGGTCAGAGGGAGGAGGCATGTCTGAGAGGGTCTGAAGGAGGAGGCATGTCTGGGAAGGTCAGAGGGAGGAGGCGTGTCTGGAAAGGTCAGAGGGAGGTGGCATGTCTGGGAGGGTCAGAAGTAGGAGGCGTGTCTGGGAAGGTCAGAGGAAGGCGTGTCTGGGAAGGTCAGAGGGAGGTGGCGTGTCTGGGAGGGTCAGAGGTAGGAGGCGTGTCTCGGAAGGTCAGAGGTAGGAGGCCTGTGAAGGTCAGAGGGAGGAGGCGTGTCTGGGAGGGTCACAGGGAGGAGGTGTGTCTCGGAAGGTCAGAGGGAGGAGGCGTGTCTGGGAGGGTCAGAGGCAGGAGGCACACCTCAGCATGGTTCACTTACTTGGATGCCGCCTCCTCATCGTATTTCCGCCGCAGCTCCAGCAGCTCTGTCTGCGTGGCCTTCAACGCTGGGAAAAATTAAAGTGCCGGAGTAAGGCCCTCCACCCCCAGGGAAGTGGAACCTGCTCCCCTTCTCTGGGGCTCAGAAGGCAGAATGAAGCTTGGGGTAGTGAGGAAAGATTTTTCTCTCAGTTAGAACTGGTGACAAGCAGTGAGTTTCCTGCCCCTAGAAGGGCTTCGAGCTGGAGGGACGGCTGTGGCATAGCCAGGGTGGGGCGGGCAGATGACATGATTCTCTATGAGTCTATGAAGCTCAGGGGACCCAGGTAAGTGGAGGGGGCAGTCTGTCCCGGGACCTGGCGTATGAGCCCCCTAACACCATTAAGGTCACTCCAGGACCTGGGTTGGGTCGTCCGTGCATGAGCTCACCCACCCTGAGGCCCAGCCCTGGAAGTGAGGGGACGGGAGGGGCAATGAAGTCAACAGATACATGTATATTACAACAAATGAGGGATTTCTCATAAAGTTCCAGATTTCTGATTTCTCTAGCAAAATGGAAGGGACTGGCTATACTGGGCAGTGCCTGGCTGGGGCTCAGCAGTGGCCACCTCTTTAGATCAGGCCTGGGTTCTCCAGTTTGACCCACACCCCACCCTTCTCTACTGCATTCCCTAATCCAGCCAGCTTGGCTGCATGCCCGGCCCCTGTAGGCACTGCATTTGCCACCCTGGATTGAATTCTATCTCAAACCCTCTCTCCACAGTAGTACGACCCCCGGGACTGGGGTCTGATCCCTGCTGGGTAATGTAGGTCTTTCCTCTCCCTTCCCAAACTCCTTTCTTGCCATCCTGATTCTAGAACACCTGACCCTGTGTTCAGTGTCGCTGCCCCCTCCCACTCCCCCTGGGCCTCCTGGTCTGACTGGCTGGGGCGCTGCACGAGGGCAGGGGACATGTGCCAGATACACACCTGAATGTAGGACCTTGATCTTCTCCTCGGCTTCCCCCAGTCTGGCTGCCAAAGTGAAGGCCTGTACTTCCTGAAGGCCCCTGTGAAAAGACCTGGTGTGTGGACCGGCCCATCCTGGCTTCCTGTCCCCTCTCCCACTCCCTGTAAAATCTGCACCTCCGTCTTTTTAATGAGTCCTTAAACATGACACTCAGGCACTTGGCTGCCCTGCTGTTTTGCTGACTGTGTGGCCTCCATTAGAGCTGGTGCCCAGTTAAGGTTCTGTAGCAGCCAGTGACCTTGCCTCTCTGGGCCTCAATTTCCTCATGTATAAAATGGGTTTCTGATGGAGTCTGCCTCAGAGAGTGTTGTGAAGCATGTTCAATGTGGTGCCCAGCACCCAGAGTTCCCTCAGTATCACTGGTAACTATTATTGTCCCCTTGAGAGGCACTTTTTTTCCCTTTTCTGTGGCAGGAGTTTGGGAAGCCCCCACAGCCCACTGTGGTCTAACTTGGGTGTGATGCAAGCATCCCAACAGAGAAGGAGGACCCCTAGCTATGCTGGGGGAGGGTTTATGCAAAGCCTGAGCCTTACCTTGGCTGGCTCAGTGACTCTAGGGAAGGAGCCCCGTTTACCTTGATCATATCCTGCCCCCTCCCCCTCGCTCATTCCATTCCAGCCACACTCCCCTCACACATCAGGCACGTTCCTACCTCAGGGCCTTTGCACTGATTGTTCCCTCTGTCCCTGTATACCTGCAAGGCTCCCTCACCTCCTTACGGCTTTGCTCACCTTCTCAGTGAGGCCTCCTCCAACACTCTATTTAAAACTTCAGCCCCCGGGGACTTCCCTGGTGGTGCAGTGGTTAAGAATCCTCCTGCCAATGCAGGGTACGTGGGTTCGAGCCCTGGTCCGGGAAGATCCTACATGCTGCGGAGCAACTAAGCCTGTGCACCACAACTGCTGAGGCTGTGTGCCACAACTACTGAAGCCTGTACGCCTAGAGCCCGTGTTCCACAACAAGAGAAGCCCCCGCACCGCAACAAAGAGTAGCCCCCGCTCTCCGCAACTAGAGAAAGCCTGCGCACAGCAACAGAGACCCAACGCAGCCAAAAATAAATAAAATAAATAAATTAAAAAAATAAAAAACTTCAGCCCCCATCTTATCCTCTCCCTCTTCTGCTTTATCTGTCGTCACAATGCTTATCATGTAGCACACCACTTATTTATCATTTTTGTTTGTGTTTTCCTCACTAGAAAGTAAACTCCAGGAGGGCAGAGTTTTGTCCATTTTGTTCACTGCTGTTCCCTAGAACAGTGGCTGGCACACAGTAGGTGGCTGCATAAATATGTGGAATGAAAAAATAAGTGAATGACAGAAAGGATAAATGTAACAATCATCATAAAATTGTCCTAGAAAGGCCCTAAGAATGCATATTTTATCACCACTGCACCAATCGTAAAGGCAAACATTTACTGATGTGCTTCTCCCTGTGAGCACTGAGCTAAGCATGTACAGGTGTCATTTCATTTCATTCTTATGGCAGACTAGGAGTTGACACTGCCTGTGACAGTCGGTGTTAATATGTCCATTTGGCTGGGTTATAGTACCCGGTTATTCAGTCATACACTAATACATGTACTGCTGTGAAGGCATTCTGTAGATGGGGTTAACATCTACCATGAGTTGATGTTAACTAAAGGAAAATATTCGCAATAACACAGGTGGGCTTCATTCAGTCAGCTGAAGGTCTTAAGAACAAAACTGAGGAAGAAGAAATCCTGCCTCAAGATGGCAGCACTTACACCCACCTGACAGTTTCCAGCCTGCTGGCCAGCTCGACCAATTCAGACTGGCCAGCCTCAATCGTGAGTTAAGTCCTTGAAATACAACTCTTTTTTTTTTTAAATATTTATTTATTTGGCTATGTTGGGTCTTTGCTGTGGCACGCGGGCTCTTAGTTGCGGCACGTGGGATCTAGTTCCCTAACCAGAGACTGAACCCAGGTTCCCTGCATTGGGAGCGTGGAATCTTAACCACTGGACCACCAGGGAAGTCCCAAAATACAACTCTTAATCAAAAAAAAATTCTACTGGTTGTTCCTCTGGGGGACCCTGGCTAATATACCACCATTAGCCCCATTTTCTAGATGGGGAAACTGAGGCTCAGTGAGGTGATGTGACCTGCCCAGGGCTGGCCACTGAGCTGCTGACGTGTGGCTTGAACCCAGACCTGCATCTCCATCTCCAACCTGCATCTGGATTCCCAAAGGGTCCTGGGCAGGGGTGACTTTCCAGGTCCCCCCTCCCAGACAGGTGGAGCAGCGGGAGCCTGCCTGTCCTTCCCCCACTCACTTTTGTTTCTCTGCCTCATTTCTCTGCAGCAAAGTTTCTGTCAGGAGGGCTTTGCTGGGAATGCCTGGGAGGCGGCTCCCCTCAGTCAGCGTGGGCCCAGCCGGCGACGTCCCCTCTCTCTGTTCTGGAGGGAGAAAAAGAGGGAAAACCGCCCATTGCTGAGAGTGGCGTGACAGCCAGAGCTGCTTTCTGCAAACCAGATGGATCAACAGTGCTGGGAGAAGAATCAACTTCCCAAACTCAGCGTTGGAGAGAGCGCAGCTGTCAGGACCTGTTGTCACTGCGATCAGCTGGGTTGAGCCTTGGCGAGTGCCTGCACAAGAAAGTCAAACTCCATCGTGCCGGCCTAGACAGCACACCCAGAGGCTTCCTTTGCCCTCTCAGACCTGTTCCTGCCTCCTTGGCCTTCTGTATGATTAAGAAAAATCATGATAAAATATGCATAACATAAAATTCACCATGTTAACCATTTTAAAGTGCACAATTTAGTGATATGTAGTATAGTCAAAATACTGTGCAACCATTATCAGTAATTCCAGAACACTGGCATCACCCCAAAAGGAAACCTGTCCCCATTAAGCAGTCACTCCTCACACCCTTCCCTAGTCCCCGGCAACCACTGTTCTGCTTTCTGTCGCTACGGATTTGTGTATTTTGGATATCTCATAGCACTGGAATCATAACACCTATCCTTTTGTGACTTGATTCTTTCACTTAGCATGTTTTTGAGGTTCATCAAGGTTGGACCATGTGTCAGTACTTCATTCTTTTTTTATGGCCGAATAATATTCCAGTTCATGGTTATACCATATTTTGTTTGTCCCCTTTCATCCATTAATGGACATTTGGATTATTCCCACAATTTGGCTACTGTGAACAGTGCTGCTATAAACATTTGTGTACAAGTTTTGTTTGAGCACCTGTTTTCAATTCTTTAGGGTACATCCCTAGGAATGGAATGGTTGGGTCACAGGGTAACTCCAGTTTTAACTTACTGAGGAGGTACCACACTGTTTCCCCTTCCCCAAAATTGATGGCACACGTTCAGATGCTCAGTCAGCACCCCTTACCTGCAGGTGCCCTGGGGCAGGGCCCACGTCAGGTCCATCTTTACAGGCCCTGTGGCAGTTCATTTGGGGATCAGTGTGTGCCTCTGGCACCGAACTTATGCAGAGAGAGTTGCTCAGGGGCCAGCCATTGAGGGTGAGTGGCTCAAGAGTTCCAAAATTTGTTCTCCCAACCTTGGGTCCAAGTGACTCAGTTAAATCCTGTCCTAGTTTTTAAGTTTCTACTGTGATCCTGGCACAGGAGGGTGAGTGTAGAGCTGGGCGGTTTGTAGAGTGAGCCCCTCTACTCTAGCGGCTAATACAGCATTCAGCTTATAATACACACATGCATGCACACACACACGTGCACACATGTACTGGGTACATTCCAGGTGCCTAGGCCACAACAGTGAACAAAAAGGCAAGTTTTGACCATCATGATGCAGAATAACAAGTGTCCTCAAGGAGAAACACAGCCCAGGACCAAGGTCAAAAACTTCTGTTCTGTTTCCCCACTTGGCCACCTGCGGCTTCTGTGACTCAGTTTCCTCATCTGTAAAATGAGGCCAATGACACCTCAGAAGATTGATGCCAGGAGACAGTGAGATGCTGTGTGAAAGGCACACTGCACAGAGCAAATGCTCTCAAGAGGCAATTTCCACAACTACTATTATTCTTACAGAAGGAAGTTTGAACCTCAGAGGGACCTCAGAGGAAGGAGTGACAATTTTGCTGGGGAACCTCAGAGGCTTCACAGAGGTGTGTACATATGAGCAGGGGCTGAAGAACTGCCAAGTCCTGGCTTGTCAGTGTGGTTGGAATCGTATTCCAGGTGCAGGACTAGAGTTGGCAAAGTGCTGTTATTTTAGTCACTGTAAATCTTCCCCAGAAGACCCTGCCTAGGGCCAGGCTTACATCAGGTGCTCTCTATGTAATGTGGAGAGGGGGAAGGGAGGAGGCTGTGAAATGGGGGACTGTGAGAGAATGGTTGTTTCCTGAGAAGAGACTTTGTGTCATGCTTTCATTTGACAGGCCTCAGCCCATTTTATCTTCACTACATGCCAAATCTGGCCCACTGCCTGTTTTGTCAATAAAGTATTATTGAAACAAAGCCATGCCTACTCATTTACATACTATCTACGGCTGCTTTCTCCCAGAGTTAAGTAGTTGTGATAGAAACTACATGACCTGCAATACCTGCGATAACTGCTTTCTGGCCCTTTTCAGAAAAAGCTTGCTGACCTCTGAGGTAAATCCTACTCGTTCGTTCATTAAACAAGAATCCCTTCACCTGACTCCCCCAATTCTCTGCTCAATTTTTTCCCCAAAGTCTTTCTCACCAACTGACATACTATATATTTTACTAACATTTATTGACACTCAGTCCTCCCTCTAGAAGGTCAGCATGATGAGAGCAGAGATTTTTGTCTGTTTTGTCCTGGCTGTGTCCCCAGTGCCTACGACAGTGCCTGCAGGTCAATGAACATCCAAAACTTGGATGGTTACCAATGGCTTTCACCTGCTATTTGCTCCTCCCTATGGTAACCTCCTACCTCACCTTCCAAAGGTTACCACCATGCTGAATTTTGTTCACCATTCTCTTGCTTTTAAACATTTTTATCACAACATATGTACGCCCAAACACTATTATTTTTAGCTTTGCTAGTTTCTTAACTTGTCTCATTTGGGGCTGAGACAGTGCTGTGTTCACTACATCCTATTTCCCTCTCCTCCTGGGCACACAGCCAGACTACATCTTCCAGCCTCCTTTGCAGCAGGGATGTGGCCAAAGTGATGTGCGCCACTCCCACAACCGCAGTGTGATCCTCCACATTCTTTCTCTGCCTGTTGGCCGGGTGTCAGCATTCACTGTGACTCTGGATGTCGAGGATTGGCGATGACAGGACTACCACAGCCTGGGTCCCTGAATGACTGTGTGGAGTGTCCCCTGCAACTTCCCCTCCCTTCAAATATATTAAGCCTCTGAGATTTGGGGTTAGTCTGTCTCAGCAGAAGTGCACCTTAACCCATCCCACATCTAAAATTATGATAGAGTTGAGTTCCCTGCCCTCCTTCCCCAACAAGGGTGGCCGAGTTTGGCTGCCAAAGATCCACAGCCCATTAGTTTATTATGGACATCCTGTGAAAACCTTATCAGTACCTTTGGGGCCGAGGAGCTCAGGGTGTCTCTTCCACGAACTGTGGAGCTCTCGCCGCGGCTGCCCGCTGGGGTCGAAGCTGGGGGACTGCAGTCTGTCGTCTGGGCTGCGTGAAGCCTCAAACACAGGCACGGGGTCTGCACAGAGAGAGGACGACAGGGGTGGTGGGAGCCCTGGGGGCCAGGGGGTCCCCTGGCTGAGGCCACAGGGCCAGGGAGCTTGGGTGGGAAGAACCATCCATAGGAACCATCTGGAATCGCTCTGGTGGCTTAGGGGAGCAAAGTGGACTTTCTGCTTTATGAGGGAGCAGATCTCCAGGCACCTGCTCTGGAGAGCATGTGCCATCCGCATGGGTGTGGCTGTCCTGCCCAGCTGGGAATAATAATAATTATCATAATAACTTCATTTTCCTGATTCTAGATGCCATCTGTGGTGGCCATGAGATTGTGTCCTGCACACCTCCGACCACAGGGAACATCACTTAGCAAGGACCCTAGCAGGCACACTCTGAAATCCATCAGTTCAAGCCTAGCCTTCTCATGGGACTTCCCAGACAAGGCCTGCAGGCAGCAAGGATAGAGGTAGACCTGCTCCTGGGGGACACAAAACTGCTCTGAGGGCTGAGGACCGGCCCGTGGCCTTCCCAAGTGCTTCCTTCCTTAGGCTATAATGTGGTCTGGATGCTTCCACCCAGTTCCCCACCTCTCCTAGCTCCCTCCCTATTTTCCTTCACCCGAGGTTCCGTAATAGCATCTTTGCACATATAACCCTTGGGGTGCTTTTCAATGGATCTGGGCCAACACACCATCATTTGTGACACTTGTGGCCGATTAAATAATAGTTTTTCTGGGGGTGAGATATACACCTGGATATAAGATGTCTCCGTATTTCCCAGTAGCTAAATTAAGGACTCCAGGTCCTTCCACCTGCAATTCTGTCCCCCCTCCCACCCCAGCAAGCACTTCCTCTTCCTTCACATCTAGAATCCAACACCTCTTCTTCCAGCAACTCCCCACCTGGGGCAGGAGGTTTGGTGTAGCATCTTCCATGTTACAAAGCCAGTCCCTGGGAATAGGTTCCCACGATGCACCCAGCATCCCCTGGAGGCTGGCCTGGATCTAACTTGTTTTCACATATGAGGAAACTGCTCAGAGAAGCCAGGTGGCTTGCTGAAGAGTGGAGGAGAGACTCAAGTCTGGGTCTCTTTCTCTGATGCCACAAAGACTTCCTGTCCCAGTGGTGTGGATATTTTGACCCCAGTAGCTGCAGGTAGGTAGGTGTTCATGGGGTCCCAAGAAAGCCAGGGCCTCCTCGCTTCAGACCAAGGGGACTGGTCTGGTCCACATTTTTTTCTAATGCCCCAGAGCCCTCTCTCTTCCTGGTCCCTCCTTTGGGATCTCCCACCAGCATCTGCTTGGCCACTGCTCTCTGCTGGTGTGGACCCTGGAGTCAGATGTCCCTGGTCCTGGTCTAATCCATACTTGCTTCTTAGGATTGCTGTGTGACCTTGGTAAATGGCGCTACCTCTCTGTGCCTCACAATAAAAGTACCGACCTTGTGAGCCTGTGATGAAGATTCATGTAAAGTGCTCAACACGGTGCCTGGCATTTGGTCAGCTCAGGGCAAATGGAAGCCCTCACTATTATTCCTGCCCTTCTGAGTGCAAGCCACACTGACTTTCTTCTCTCAGTCCCTCAAACGCACCCCAGAGACGTTGTACGGGAGGGAGCCTCTGCCAGGAACACCCTGCCCTCCCCTATCCCTTTCAGCTAGTTAATGCTTACTCATCTTAGCAACTCAAGTGCCAATTCTTCCAGGAAGCCTTCCTTGACCAGTCGGTCTTCTAGTATGAGCTCTCCCAGCTGCCTGCACCTTTCCTTCACAGCACTCACTGTACTTCCAATTTCCATTGATTTGCAAGTGCACCTAATTAATAATACCCGCTGGACTCCAAACTCCACAAGGCAGGGCTGGGACTGCATTTGTTCTTGCTCCTCCACTGGACCCCTTGTGGGGTGAATGAAGCCTGACCCACAGTCCAACCCAATAAATATCTGCTGATGGGAGAAACGGGGCAGAGCCTATACCTGGGGACCTTCAGGTCCGGCTGGAACAAGGCCACCTCTGCATTTTATCCCTCTTCTCCCGCCCGTTTGTTTAGGTGGTGGGAGGCTCAGACAATGGGTGTTTGTGTTGAGGTAAGCAGGTGCACGGGAACGCTGCTGCGGGCTTTCCTCTGTCAGCACTCCCCCATGCCCCGTCATTAGGCAGGGGCTGCTCAGCAGGGTATGCCATTATGTCTCCCCGGGCTGATGTAATTATACATTGACATAATTAACCCAGCAAGCGCATTAGGCAGGCCAGCTAAAAATTCATCTATAATTATTTGTTGTGTGCATGCTAATGAGTCCATCTGCACTGCCTTTGTACAACACGGACAAATTAATTTACAAGTCTGGATTTTTTAATAAGTTCAGGGAAACGCTTCCTATTGTGTCCTGGTTTTTGAGAAAGGAAGAAAAAGGCGACAAGCGCTTGCCGGGGTCAGAGAGGTTAGATAAACACGGGAGGCTGCAGCTGAGAGTGGCATGGAGGGCTCGCTCTGGTTCCAGGGAGGTGGGAAAGATCCAGCTCATGGCTCAGGGGCCGGCTGGCTAGGAGCCTGTCCAAGCCAAAAGATGACGCTCGGGTGAAAAAGGAAGTCATTCACCTCATTCCCAGGGATCAGAAATTGACGTTCGTTGTGTGCGGAGGCACTGCGGTCCCCTTGCTGCCTTGGCCTCTTTGTCCAGGGGAAGCTGACCGCAGGTGGCCTCCTGGACAGACTGGAGGAGGTGGGTGGCGAGTGGACACTCAGTATGGGGTCAGCGGGTTCCAAGGCTCTCTTTGCCTTCATTTGCCAGTACAGGGTAGAACATAGTGGTTAAACTCTCAGAACATGAAGTCCAGCGCTGGTCTCAAGACTCAGTTTCCCCACTTAAAAAGTCAGAAAATATTACAGTTTCTACTTCTCAGAAGTTACTACTGGGAAGACTGAAAAAGATTACTGAGAGAGGCAGCATGATTTAAGGACTGCTGGTGTCAGCTCCAGCTCTAAACTGGCCATGAGACCTTTGGACAGTTAACCTCTCCAAGCCTCCATTTTCTTATCTGTAAAATGGGGCTGCAAGGACTGAATGAGAGAATGTGTATAGAGATTTGCACAGTGCTGGGTGCACAGTAGGGCTTGATAAGTGTTGGCTGCTGTTACTACCCTGAGAGGGGGCAGCACACCGTCCCGTGACATTCTAGGAGCTGCTGTCTACATGGCAAAACTCCACGGAGACTCAGGACAGGGTAAGGCCTCATATACTCTCATCAGTGCCTGGGAGACTCAGAATCCAGTAATCCTGCATTGAGCTCCACTCAGGGACTCAAAGGCTCCAGCTTAGAAAGTCACACTGAGGAGGGACAATTTGTCAAGTGTCCAACACCCCTACCCCAGTGCACAGTTGGGGAAAAATGGGGTCCCATGACTTCCCTGAAGTCTGCCAGTGAGTTGGTGATAGGGCCAAGATGGGGCCTTGGGCCTCGGCCTCTTCTTCCCACACTGTGCTTCCTCCTAGATCCTCAATTTGAGACAGGAAGTCGGGGAAGGTTCAGATGACTCAGCCGAAGTCAGGCTGTGGCCAAATCCTAACAGCTGGAGCACTTTAAATTGATTAGAATTCATACAGTCTTCACCACAACACTGTTAGTAGGGCTGTTGTGTTCCCATTCTATAGATGGGGAAATTGAGGCATGGGGGAGTGAAATCACTTCCCCAAGGTGAGGCCCAATAAGGTAGATGCTGCTATTTCCATTTTCCAGACAAGGAAATGAAGGCCCAGAGAGGAGACTCCATGTGCCCAAGGTCCGCCGAGCTCAGAAGTGGCAGGGGTGGGATTTGAACCCGGAGTGCGTGGTGACTCTTTGTAGTGGGCTAAGCTGCCTTGAGGCAGGGCATGGGGGATTATTAGGCCAGAAGCACGAGAATGAGGGCGCTGTTCTTGGCCTTGCCACAGGCTTGCTGTGTGACCTTGGACAAAGCATCAGACTTCTCTGGGCTCCAAATTTCTATCACAAGTATACCTGAGGCACACACTCAATCAACATTGGTTATCACCAGATAGGGGTGTGGTCCTGCCAAAGTGAGTGCTTTTGGCCCTGGGCCTATTCCTTGGCGCTGGGATGCTCAGGGAGGGTGATTATTAAACGCCTTCATAGCTGAACTTGACACTTGAGGTTTGAACATTGTGAATCCTCCAAATTCCCAAAGCCACTCTCAGATAAAGGGGGAGAGGGACAGGTTGGGAGGCTGATGGTCAAATCCTGGCTGTGACAACTTTAGGGAAAGTCACTTAGGTCCCCTGAGCCTCAGTTTCCCCCTCAGTAAAACAGGGATAACAACAGGACCTACTGTACAGGGCTGTGCAGGGACTCCATGAGCCGCTGAGCCCCTGCGACAGTGCCTGGCACCTAACAGAGTCTAAGTGAGCGTTACCCTTATTCTTATGACTTGTGGCAGTGTGGGATGTGCCACCCAGCTCTCCCTTCAAGAAAGAACGTCCTGCGAGAAGTTGGTGACAATCTCCAGGCGCTGCACACTGCAGTGTTGGTTTGGAGGTCAGGTTTCCCCAGGCCTGCTCCCAACCAATGACCGAGTAAGACAGAGACAGTAGGGCTGGGCCACTCCTGCCGATGCTGGAAAAGGCAACCTAGTATCATAGACTAAAATGTTTTCCCCCAAACCCATATGTTGAAGCCTTAACCCCTGATGCAACTGTATCTGGAGACAGGGCTTTAAGGAAGTAATTAAGGTTAAATGAGGTCATTAAGAGTGGGGCCCGGGGCTTCCCTGGTGGCGCAGTGGTTGAGAGTCCGCCTACCGATGCAGGGGAGGCGGGTTCGTGCCCCGGTCCGGGAGGATTCCCAAATTCCCCCAAAAGTCAGAGATCAGTGTACCTTCAGCCAACTCCAGACATAGCAGACCCCCACTTACACCTCATGAGGCACAAGAAATCTGGACTCAGAGTGGGTCCAGGGAATTCCCTGGCGGTCCAGCGGTTGGGACTCAGCACTCTCACTGCCGAGGGCCTGGGTTCATTTCCTGGTCGGG